GGGGGGGGCAGGCCGGGGGCAGGCGGGGGGCAGGTCTGGGGGCAGGCCGGGGGGGGCGGGGGGCGCGGGTCGGGGGGGGGGGCAGGCCGGGCGCGGGCCGGGGGGGCAGGCCGCGGGGCAGGCCGGGGCAGACGTCCGAGACTGGAGCCCGTGCAGTTCACCGCCTGTTTCCTGCTAAGTGGACGTGTGTCGCCAGCACTGTGGTTCCTGGACGTGGACAGGGGGCTCCGAAGACGGAGCTGGCTGGCATCTCGGGGTCCTGCGGCGTAGAACCCCACCGCTAATTGCTGGCGGGCAGTTGTGCCTGAAAAGATAAGCGGGCACAGTGGTGACGCTGTGTCTGAGCAGCGTCTGCAGCCGGGTTTCCGCGCACCTGTGCCCGCCTGCCCGCCAAGGGGCCGTAGGGACTCCCGGGAGGGGCCAGGCGGGAAGCGGTGTGGCCCCGCCGGCCAGGCGGCCTGTCTCACCCACTTGCTTCCGACGTGCAGCACAGGCGGCTCTCGAGTAGGCAGACCAGGCCCGTTCCGCGGGCCCAGAAATGTGAGTTTTGTTTCATTTCCCCGTCATGAAATACTACTCCGTTGACTTTTCTCAACTATTCAGAATTATAAACGCCCTGGTTAGCTTTTGGGTCTACAGATAGACAGCAACCGGATTTGGCTCCAAGGTCCTAGTTGGCTGATAGCTGCTCTAAGATGCAGAGTACTAAGGAGACTTCTGAGAGAGAACTTTCGACTGTTTTCTCCTTTAAGAGGTGTTCGTTTCTGAGTCTGATAGTTTGGTCTTTAAACAATTTAATGTTCCAACAGTTTCTGTGTCGTTCCCTTATCGACAGATACTTGGGCACCAACCTTTTGAAGTTGCTGGGGTGACGCGAAGGAGCCCCGTGGCTCTCCCAGGTTTCAGGAGGCAGGAGCTGGTTGGAGATCAGATGCGGTCTCGGTGGTCACGTGAGCTTTACTGTGCCCATAACAAGGGGATCTCAAAGGTCTCAGTTCCTCACATTATTCTTTAACTGATCTTGTAGCTGAAATGTGAGCACGAAGTCGGGCACTAACAGCCCTGTTTCCTTGCCATAAATAGCTAGTTCTTGTAACAAACCTGCCTCCAGACATAAGCACTCCCTTGGGCAGCTGGGACTGCTCAGAGAGGAAGTGACTTAATTTCTCAAAGTACTCAGAGGGTTTACTGAAGACATGCTTTGGCTGTTTGGGGCATTGGCTTTGTTTGTTTTAGGGTTTGTGTGTGTGTGTGTGTGTGTGTGTGTGTGTGTTTTTAATTGTGTAGTGGTTGCACAGGGGTGAACGTGTCAGATTGGTGGGGTCTTGGCAGGTAAAGGAATCGAGACCAGAGTATGGTTGCCACTTTCCTAGTTAACCCTCCTCCCTTAATTTAGGAGGAAGAATGGTGGGGGCCCCGTCCTGAACAGCATACTCCCCAGCTCCATTTTCCTAAAACGCAACAAAATCTCCCTAAATGTCAAGATTCTTTTTAAACAGCAGAGTTTCAAATTGCTCTTAGTACCTAATTGATAATCTAGTGGCAAAGGCAACCATATTTGATGTTAGTTCCTGACTCTCTCACCTGTTTAAGGACATGTGGTAAAGCACTTAAGGAGCTCTTTAAAGAGACCCCGTAATCCTTTGTGATGTGAATAGTTAAACTCTCCATTTGGTTTGTCTAAAGTCAAACATTCACGTATTAATATGTTAAATATTGTGGGTAAAAGGATCATGTAAAAGGATGACCTGTGGGGAATTACTTTCTTCAAATGGCTTCTTTTCCCCTATTGCTGCCTCTGTTTTTTCCAGCCTTCTTTCCAGGTCTCTCTGTGATATAGGTGCTCAGCTCAGCTCAGCCATGGGATTTGATGGCTCCTTGATGTTCAGAGAATAAGGTCACTAAGTCAAATGGCATTTAAGGAGTTCCTACTATGTTTAGAGCACTTAAGTGGGTATAGAAGTGGGGTTCCAAGAGTCAGAATTGCCAGTGACAGCAGTCTAATTAGGGAAGTAAAGCCAGAAAGCAAGAAATGGACTGCTATATTATATGTGCAGCTGTGAAGACCTCTACTAGGAAGGATACCATTAGGGAAGGAGAAAGAAGAGAAAAAGATCACTGTTCCCTGCCATCAGTATCCCAGCACCACATGGACTGTTAGGAAAACCTAAAGTTTCATTTTTGAAAAAACATAACTTTTAAAAATTTTGTATTTTTAAATTATAGTTGACCCACAATGTTATATTAGTTTAAGGCGCACAGCACAGTGATTTGACAATTCTCTGTGTACACAGTGTTCACCACAGTAAGCGTAGTTACAGTTATCATACAGAATTATTATACTCTCAACTGTATTCCCTATGTTGTATTTTTCTTTTTCATTCCTCTGATTTATTTGCTTTATAACTGGATTTGTACCTCTTAATTGTCTTCACTTATTTTCACCCATCCCCCTCCATCACCCTCCTGGAAACCACAAGTTATCTGTATTTATTAGTCTGTTTCTATTTTGTTTATTAGACTCCACATTTGAGTGATATTATATAGTATTTGTCTTTCTCTGTTTAAATTATTTCACTTGGCAGAATATCCTCTAGCTCCATCCACATTGTCACAAATGCAAGATCTCTTTTTGTGGCTGTGTAATATTCCTGTGTGTGTGTGTGTGTGTGTGATCTTTATCCATTCATCTATTGCTTCCATACCTAATACTGCAGTAAACATAGGATGCATATATCTTTTTGTCCTAGCATTATTGTTTTCTTTGAGTAAATAACCAATAGTGGGAAAACTGGATCGTTTGGTGTTTCTATTCTTAATTTTTTGAGGAACTTCAGTAGTGTTTTCCACAGTTGCACAAATTTACATTCCTGCCAACAGTGCATGAGGGTTCCCTTTTCTCCAAATCCTCACCAATACTTGTTATTTCTTGTCTTTTTGATACTATCCATTCTGATAGGTGTAAGGTGATAACTCATTGTGGTTTTGAATTGCATTTCCCTGGTGATTAGTGACGATGAGGGTCATTTCATGTGTTTCTGGCCATTTGTACATCTTCTTTTGAAAATAACTGTTCTGTACCTGTGCCTATCTTTAATTAGTTTATTTTTTTATTGAGTTGTATGAGTACTTTATATATTTTGAATATTAATCTCTTATTGGATGTATCATGTATCGGCTCCCATTCAGTAGGTTTTAATATTGTTCTGTTGATTATTTCCTTTGCTGTGGAAAAGCTTTTTATTTTAGTGTAGTCTCATTTCTTTCTTTTTTTTTTTCCTTTACTTTTGTTTTCCTTGCCTGAGGAGATTTGTCTATAAACACGTTGCTAAGGCTACATTCAGTTTATTTTTGTGCGTGTTGTAAGAAAGCAGTCCTATTTTATCATGTTGCATATAGCACTCCAGTTTTCTCAATACCATTTATTAAAGAGACTGCCTTTTCCCCTATTGTGTAGTTTTGCTTGCTTTGTTGTATATTAATTGACCACACAAGCACGGGTTTATTTCTGGGTTCTTTATCCTGTTCCACTGATCTGTGTCTGTTTTTGTGCCAGTACTATACTGTTCGATTACTATAGTTTTGTGGTATATCTTGAAATCTGGAATTGTGATACTCCAGTTTTGTTCTTCTTTCTCAAGATGCTTTGTTTAACCAGAGTCTTTTGTGTCTTACAATTTTAGGATGACTTGTTCTGGTTCTGGTTCTGGTTGAAAGGAATTGTGTTAAATCTGTAGGTTGCTTTGAGTAGCATGGACGTTTTAAAAATATCAATTCTTTAAATCCATGAGCATGATATATCTTTCCATTTGTGTTGTCTTCATTTTCTTTCATAAATGTTCAGAGTTTTCAGTGTACAGGTCTTTCATTTCCTTGATCAACTTTATTCCTGCGTATTTTATTCTTTTTGGTACAACTGTAAATGGGATTGCTTTTTTAATTTATCTTTCAGTTACTTTGTTACTAGTGTGTAGAAACACAACAAATCTCTGTGTTAATTTTGTATCCTGCAACTTCACTGAAGTGGTTTATGATATCTGATAGTTTTTTTGTGGTCTTTAGAGATTTCTGAATGGATATAATCTGCAAATAGTGACAATTTTACTTTTTCCTTTCTGATTGAATCCCTTTTTTCTTTTTTAAAAACTTTATTTTCTGAATCCCAGAGCCTGGACACTAATTGACTTCTTCATAAAGCCATTACTTTCAAGAGTGGAAAACATAACTGGATTTTCTGACACAGGGAAGAGGGCAGAGACTTAGAATGCAAAGACAGGAATTCATCCCAAATGAAAGATCAAAATAAGACCATGGCCAGAGATCTAAGGAAAACAGGTATAAGTAACATGACTGATAGAGA